TTGAAATAACACTCCTTGCTTCCTAAGCCAAGATGTCTTGGTGCTGTTTTGTTTGTGCTGGTCCTTTCCTGTTTTTTTTTTTTTTAAAAGGCTGAAACAAATTTTACAAGCAACCTGTATCAATAGAAGCCACTAGATGGAGACGCAGCTCTGAGAAACAGGCTCGGGAAGCTGCTCCACAGTGCCAGGGAGTCTCAGTGCCTGGGAACTGGGAGAGACAGACCTGGGTCTGCATTTGGCTGCCAAGAACTGGCTATGTGGCTTTGGCGAGTCACCCTAATTTTTTTTTTTTTGCTTTTTGGGCCACACCCAGCGATGCACAGGGGTTACTCCTGGCTCTGGATTCAGGAATTACTCCTGGTGGTGCTCGGGGGACCATATGGGACGCCGGGGATCAAACCTGGGCTGACTGTGTACAAGGCAAATGCCCTCCCCCCTGTGCTATCACTCCACCCCGTGTCACCCTAAATTCTGAAGAGGGCTAAATTGCATGCACAGGGCAGCATTCCATGCTGTTACTGCCCCAAATGCTTAGTCAGTCCCCCGGTGGGATGCTGAATGCCAGGTGACTCGCTCTCTTGTCTTGTGTCAAACAGGGTGGGTTGGTAGTCAGAGGGCAGCCAAAGGGGTGGGGGGATCAGGTGGCCACAAGGCAGAGGTTGCCCTGAATGAAACAGCCTGGCACAGGGTCCGTCAGCATGGCTACCACGTGTCATTGTATGCTCTCTTCTGAGAGATTTATAGTGAGTATCTCTATTTCTGCAGCTTTTATTGTTTTCTTGAGGTGGTTCAAACCTGCAGCCTTAACACCTGAGCTTTATGAGTCACATTTTGGACTTTATTTATTTTTCAACTGTTTTGTTTGGGGGCCACCATCACTGTCAATCACTGTCCGTGCTCAGGGCTCACTCCTGGTTCTGTGCCGGGAATCGAAATCCAGTTCGCCACGTTTAGGCAAGTGCCCAGCCCCCTGCACTCTCTTCTCCAGGCTTGTCTTAACCTGCTCCCTGCCTTGCACTCACACAGTCGCCCCATTCGCTTCTGAATTAAGGTGACTGTCTTGGTGAAGATCCTTCTCTCTTGCCAGTGAGTCTGGACCTCCACAACCTGACCTGGGAGTTTCCAAATCCTGCTGTGAGATGCTACCCTGCTCTGCCAACCTGATCGTGGAATTCAGCCAGACTCCTGCTATTTCAGGTCCTCAAAGGACAGTTTCCATCCTCCATATTCCAGGTAGGATGTTCATGCCATCCTACCTGGAATATGCTTCCCTCCTTCCCTTTTTCTGCCTCTGCCCTTCTCTCCTTGGCTCTGGGCTTGGCTTGCAGTGAGCATCACCCCCTCTAGAGATCCTTATCCAACACCTCAAATATAAGCTGGGACTCCCTTGCCCTGTCCGGATGCCATGGGCCTGGGATGCCTTTCTGCTGGCTTTAATTTGGTGCCTTGGCAGGGAGTGATTACATGTCAGCAGTGATGGTCACCTGCCAGTTGAGATTTCTAGGAGAGGTCAGTCTGGCCGAGTCCCTTTCTGTGCCTAGTGGGATGCCAGGTGTTGCTCCTGGGTTTCCATAAATCTAGAGCATGCATGTGATCCCCCTGACCTCCTGCTCTGACTAAGCTCCCTTCTGCGTTTAGTTGCTCTTAAGTCCGTTCTTTGCCCCTCAGCAGACTCAGATATCAAACAGTCTCTTTCTCTGTTCCCTCGGGCAGTCACTCATGGAAGACACTCAGGTATGTGACAGAAATGACCTCAGGGCCAAGGTTAAAGGTAAGGACTGAGTCTGGGAGAGCCTCGGCAGCGGCATTCACTGACATTTCTTCTGGTTGGCTTTCTCCCAAGCGTCCATCTTAAATGTTAAGTAGCCTCTTTCCTTCCTCCTTCCCCGTCCTCCTCTCTTCTTCTTGTCCAATAATCTTGTCTTTCAGAATTAAGAATGTCTTTTTTCCTCCTTTTCCCTGGGTCACACCCAACAATGCTCAGGGGTTACTCCAGGCCCTGTACTCAGGAACCAACTCATGGTGGTGCTCAGGGGGCCATATGGGACTCTGGGGATCGAATCTGGGTTGGCCGCGTGCAAGGCAAATGCCTTACCTGCTATACTGTTGCTCTGGCTTAAGTTTAGAATGTCTTACTGAATGTTGCAGTTTCTTTACAGGTCAGATCTCACCTTCATTTTTCAAGTTGTTGTACTAAACAAGAGCTCATCGATGTTTGGATATGGGGTGGGGTGGGGAAGGGGGTACTCCCCAGCACATTTGTTGACTTTATCTCACCACTGCCATGCTCATTGCTGGAGCACCTGGACTTATGACTGGGTGGTCACACAGTAGCTTGATGAGTCTTCATGGAATGAATGAGGAAATGACAGAATTGGTGGGTGAATAAGTGAGATGTTGCTTAGAATGAAAACTAGTTCCCCCAGAGAGAGTAAACTCACCTGTCTCCTCTTTTGGATTATTGTGAAGAGATGTGGAAGGATAATTTGGGCCTAATATGGGCAAATCAAGTTGAGCTGTTTGTGATTTTTGACCTGGCTCCCACTGGTAGAGCAGAAATGACAAAGTTGCTCTAAGTTAATGAGCATCCAAGTTTGCATAAGACCAAGACAGGAGGAGAAGTGGCAGTCAGCCCACCGGCTCAGTTTTCCTTCCTGTCATAATTTTGAGATGACAGGAAATAAAGCTTCCTTCTGTAACCAAGACAACCGAAACAAAAATGAGGACACTCTCACAGTTGAGATTTTCTTGCACATCATTTGCCCACAAGAGAATATCTCATCCACCCATCCTTTCATTCATCCATCCACAATGTATAAAGTTGAGAGCTATACTCTAGATCCAGTACTGTGAACTAGAAACAGTTGCTTTGAGATTGATATTATCAGGAAACACCACTGACCCAGCAACTGGAAGCAAAGATAAACAAATGGGACTACATTAAACTAAGAAGCTTTTGCTCTTCAAAGGAAGTGATGACTAGGATACAAAGACAGGCCATCACTGACACTGTCATTGTCCTCCCGTTGTTCATTGATTTACTTGAGCGGGCCCAGTAACGTCTCCATTGTGATAATTGTTACTGTGTTTGGCATATCGAATACGTCACGGGGAGCTTGCCAGGCTTTGCCGTGTGGGCAAGATACTCTCAGTAGCTTGCCGGGCTCTCTGAGAGGGGTGGAGGAATCGAACCCCAGTCGGCCAGGTTGGCCGCGTGCAAAGCAAACGCCCTACCCGCTGTGCTATCGCTCCAGCCCAAACACAGGCCATAGAATGGGAAAATTATTTATCCAACACTCATCTGAAAAGGGGTTAATATCCAAGATATATAAGACACTGGTAGAACTTGACAAGAATAAAACATCTAAACCCATCAAGAAGGGTGGAGAAGAGATGAACAGAAACTTCCTCTGAGACGAAATACAAATGGCCAAAAGGCACATGAGAAAGTGCTCTACATCATTAATTATTAGGGAGATGCAAATAAAAACAAGAATAAGATATCATCTCATGCCATAGTGACTGGCACACATCAACCGAACAACCAGTGCTGGTGTGGATAAGGAGAGAAAGGTACTCTCATTCATTGCTGGTGGGAGTACCTTTTGGAAAACAATATGGTCATTCCTCAAAAAAACTAGAAAATGAGCTTCCATATGCCCCAACAATACTACTTCTGGGTATAGCCCTTGGGAGCCTAAAAACACAATGCAGAAAAGCCGTCTTCATTCTTATTTTCATTGTAGCACTATTCACAATAGCCAGAATCTGGAAATAACCCCAGTACCAGAAAAGTGGATAAAGAAACATCTACACAATTGAACACTATGCAGCTGTTAGGAAAAATGAAGTCATGAAATTTTCTTATACATGGATGGACATGGAGAGTATCATGCTGAGTTAAATGAGTCAGAAGGAGAGGGACAAACATAGGATGATTGAACTAACTTGAGGAATATTAAAAAGAAAACCACAGTATGTGAATAATACACAAAGACAGTAGAAACAAGGGCCAGGAGGACCATGAGAGGAAGCTGGCCACAAAAGGGGTGGGGCAGAAAAGGGGTTAGGACAAAAGGGGTTAGGACAGAGAAGGGACCACTATACCAATGACAAAACTAAAAGTAAAGTAAAGTAAAGGCCCTCCCGTTGATCATCGATTTGCTCGAGCGGGCCCAGTAACGTCTCCATTGGAGACTTTGTTGCTACTGTGTCTGGCATATCGAATACGTCACGGGGAGCTTGCCAGGCTCTGCCGTGCGAACAAGATACTCTCTGTAGCTTGCTGGGCAAAACTAAGTGGACAAAAACTAAGTGCTGAAAGGAGGTGAAGTGATACACACAGTCAGCACCTGTATTTCAAACCACAGTGTTTAAAAAGAAAATAAGAGAGATAGAGAGAGAAAATGAGAAAGAGAGTGAGAAGAAAGAGGAACAGTGTTTGCCATAGAGACAGGCTGTGGGGGCCTGGGCGGTTGGAGAGGGACGTTGGCAGGAAATATGCACTGGTGAAGAGATGGGTGTAGGAGCACTGTATGACTGAAACTCAATCATGAACAATTTCATAACTGGGTATCTCAGAGTGATTCAATTTTAAAAAATAATATTACCAGGCAATAATATCACCTGGCATTGATCCTCTTGTACTGATGTAAAGCTCTAGAAATGGTAGCTACCATTGTTATTAGGAGCTGCGTACCATTTATAAATTCCAAAGCACTAACGTTTTCTCAGGACATCCAATAGTCAATTCAATTTTATTATCCCAAACTTGATGATGAAGGCTAGTCGAGGATATGGAGAGAGAGAGCAGAGTCAAGTGGACCGATGAGAAAGAGACTTTTGCGGGTAGAGGCTGTGGTGTGAGGTTGAGGGGAGTCTTGCCACATCAAATATTGGCAGGTGGATTATCTCCAGATGAGCCTGCTCTATTAAAGCGGGCATCCATGAGAGTCGACGGGAAGAAGGAACCCAGGTAGAAAACAGGAAACCAGTGGGGGTTAGCTCTTCTCTGCACGGGGATCGTAGATCCGGATGGGCATGTTGATTTTGTTCTGCAGCCAGCTGATGTAATCCTCTTGAGGCATGTGGATAATGTGCTCTCGTACAAACTGCAGGGCAAATACAGTCGGCATTAGGGCTGCTCTGAAAGCTGGTCACCCTCCCTTCTTCCCTACCTGTGCCTCCCTCCCCCGTTGGTTTGTTTATGTCTCTCCAAAAGCTCAGAGTTTCCAGGAGATCCCCTCTAAATGGAATACCTTGTCCCACAGAGAAGACTCAAATCAAAACAAGAATGAGATGCCATCTCATGACACAGTGACTGGCACACATCAAAAAGAACAACCAGTACTGGCATGGATACGGAGAGAAAGGGACTCTCCTTCATTGCTAGTGGGCATGCCTGCCAAGGTCATTCTTCTCCCATTCGAAATGTCTTTCCTTCCTTCCTTCCTTCCTTCCTTCCTTCCTTCCTTCCTTCCTTCCTTCCTTCCTTCCTTCCTTCCTTCCTCCCTCCCTCCCTCCCTCCCTCCCTCTTTCTTTCTTTCTTTCTTTCTTTCTTTCTTTCTTTCTTTCTTTCTTTCTTTCTTTCTTTCTTTCTTCTCTTTCTTTTCCTTCCTTCCCTCTCTCTCTTTCTTTCTCTCTCTTTTCCTTCCTTCCTTCCTTCCTTCCTTCCTTCCTTCCTTCCTGCCTTCCTTCCTTCCTTCCTTTCCTTTCTATTTCTTTCTTTCCTTTCTTTCTCTTCCTTCCTTCCACCTCTTTCTCACTTTCTTTCTCTTTCTTTCTTTCTTTCTTTCTTTCTTTCTTTCTTTCTTTCTTTCTTTCTTTCTTTCTTTCTCTTTCTTTTCCTTCCTTCCCTCTCTCTCTTTCTTTCTCTCTCTTTTCCTTCCTTCCTTCCTTCCTTCCTTCCTTCCTTCCTTCCTTCCTTCCCTCCCTCCCTCCCTCCCTCCCTCTCTCTCTCTCTCTCTCTTTCTTTCCCTCCCTCCCTCCCTCCCTCCCTTCCCCTCCCTCCCTCCCTCCCTCCCTCCCTCCCTCCCTCCCTCTCTTTCTTTCTTTCTTTCTTTCTTTCTTTCTTTCTTTCTTTCTTTCTCTCTTTCCCTCCCTCCCTCCCTCCCTTCCTTCCTTCCTTCCTTCCCTCCCTCCCTCCCTCCCTCCCTCCCTCCCTCTCTCTCTCTCTTTCTTTCTTTCTTTTCTTTCTTTCTTTCTTTCTTTCTTTCTTTCTCTCTTTCTTTTCCTTCCTTCCATCCATCTCTTTCTCTCTCTTTCTTTCTCTCTTTCTTTCTCTTTCTTTCTTTCTTTCTTTCTCTTTCTTTTCTTTCTTTCATGAATCATCATGAGATACAGTTACAGATTTACAAACTTTCGCGATTATGTTCATACAATGATGAGTGCCTGTCCCTCCACCAGTGATCATTCTCTACCACCAATGTTTCCGGTATCCCTCCCACCACCGCTCCTGCCTCTGTAGCAGGCACATTCCCTTTTACTCTCTCTCTGGAGGCACAGATTTTTTCCTCTTTCTTTCTTTCTTTCTTTCTTTCTTGCTTTCTTTCTTTCTTTCTTTCTTTCTTTCTTTCTTTCTTTCTTTTGTTTTTTGGTTCACACCTGGAGATGCACAGGGGTTACTCCTGGCTCTGCACTCAGGAATTACTCCTGGCGGTGCTCGGGGGGACTGTATGGATGCTGAGAATCGAACCCGGGTCGGCTGCATAAAAGGCAAATGCCCTCCCCATTATACCGTCACTCCAGCCCCCGAAGGCAGAGATTTCTCTGCCTTTGAAAACCCTTGTGTCTAGTCATGGATGCCAGATGACTGAGTGAGACAGCCTGAGTTGCCGTGAGGGGAAGGGATACGGTTGTTACCTCGATGGCCACCGCGATGTCGGGGGAACAGAGTTCCCAGACCCTCAGGTCCTGCAGCACCTTCAACAGAACGTGGGGGCGGATTCGCAGGTCCAGGTTTTCCCCAAACTTCTGCAGTTTCACCAGGATTTTTTTGGCAGGGAGGAAATTCTTCAGATCCTCGGGGAGTTTGGTTAGTAAATCAAAATACCTGCAATTCCCAGAGGAGAGAGGGCCATGTCAGACACTGCTGGGAGACATGTCTGGACATCTCCAGACCCCCACTCCCACTCTGTGTCCCCCACTCATGTCACAGCCCCAAGGTGGCATCAGCTTTGATCTGGGGATTCTGCTCCATCCTATGTGGACAAGGCTCACTGAGCCTTAGTTTGATTATTTCCTTTGAACAACTTTTATTTTTTAAATTGATTGAGATTCTGTGATTTATAATACTATTAATGATAACTTCTTATGCACATAATTCCAACCCCCATTGCCCCTGTCATCAGCGTACCTGTCTCCCTCCCCCAAGGACCCCAAAGGCCCTCCATTTAAAACCCACCCAACTCAATTATGAAGATTTCTTCTCCCTTGTTGCTACCTTGCTTTAAATCTCAGAGGGGAGAGATTGTCCTGTATCTATCTTTACTTTTAGGGTTAGTAAAAGCGGGAGTGTGAGTGGCATTTTACAGGAAGAACAAATGAAAAGCAAGTATGGAAGAGGGGGTGGTATGATTTGTATATCACCCAGAGAATGTGAAAAATTAGAAGCAAGGGATGCTGAGGCTTCTCTTCTGCAATTGAATCAGGCCAGAGAGAACACGGGTGCATTTTCTAGGATGCAAGAGGCTTGCATGCAAGATGGACATGCTCTTGCTGCTGGTGATGACCAGGGTGATGGTTAGGCATGATGATGATGGCAGAGAGAGAGAGAGAGAGAGAGAGAGAGAGAGAGAGAGAGAGGGAGAGAGAGAGAGTGTTTCTGAGTTCCTGACAATGAGTAAACTTGGGCCACAATGTTGTATGGTTCAATGGGTTTTGAGAATGTTTACAATTATGACCATGTGTGAGGCTCCTTTGGGGAATCTGTCCTTGGGAACAAGAAGATTCTAATCTGGGGTATGTTTTGGTATGATCAAAACTTAAGCAAGAGGTTAGGAATCTTCAAAAGGCTTTTTCATGATATATATGTGGAATTAGTTGAGGAAGAAATTGATCATCATGTATTTAGGTGGATTCAAACTGTTTTAATGATACTTGTGACATATTTTTATATATCATACAGATAGCACAGCGGGTAGGGCGTTTGCCTTGCACGTGGCCAATATGGCTGGCCCAAGTTCGATTCCTCCGCCCCTCTCGGAGAGCCCGGCAAGCTCAAGAGTATATCGCCTGCACGGCAAATCCTGGGAAGCTACTCGTGAACTATTCAATATGCCAAAAACAGTAAACAAGTCTCACAACGGAGACGTTACTGGTGCCCGCTCAAGCAAATCGATGAACAACGGGAAGACAGTGACAGTGACATCTATCTATCTATATCTATATCTATATATACACACATATATGTATATATTTATGTCTCCTTATAAACACTCATTCTACTTCTTTAAAATGCTAGATATAAAGCTAAAGAGATAGTATAGGGGTAAAGTACTTGTCTTGCATGCAGTTGATCCTGGTTTTAATTATTGTTATTTTTTTTGGGGGGGAGGGCACACCCAGCAGTGCTCAGGGCTTACTTCTGGCTCTGCACTTAGAGATCACTCTTGGTGGGGCTCAGGGGACCATATGGGGTGCTGGGGATTGAACCCGGGCTTGCTGCTTGCAAGACGAGCACCCTATCTGCTGTATTATTTCTCTAGTCCCTTTCTTAATTATTTTTGGCTTGGGGAGTCATACCTGGTACTATAGGATGACCAAAAAGCTCAGGGCTTACTTTTGGTGGTACTCATGCCAGGGATTGAACTGGGATTGGTAGTGTGCATGCTAAGTGCCTTCCCCTGTACTATCTCATTTTTCTTTTTGGGTCACAACCGGTGGTGCACAGGGGTTACTCCTGGCTCTGCACTCAGGAATTACTCCTGGCTGTGCTCGGGGGACCGTATGGGATGTCAGGAATCCAACCCCGGTCGGCCACATGCAAGGCAAATGCCCTACCTGCTCTGCTATTGCTCCAGTCCCCCCCCCCCCACCCGTACTATCTCTTCAGTCCATTCACCCCCGTTTGAACCCAGGCAGCACATATGGTCTCCTGATCACTTCCAGGAAAGATCCCTGAGCACCTTCAGGGTGGCCCCCAATAAAAAATCTAGAGGGCATTCTGGGAACAGTTAAACTTTTCCACCTTACTTTTAGGTCTTAATTTACGTATCATGCCTAGATGGAGTTCCCTAAGACCAGACCCCAGTTCTGTCTTGCAGATGAGCATGGAGGCAGATCATAAAGGAGCTAACACTCCCAGTTTCTCTGTTTGTAATCGGGGGGAAGTAGGCATCCTTTAGGAGTTTTGTTGTGGGGAGCAAAAGAGATAATTTATGAATATTTCTTGGGATGAGCCATGCTACAATCTCTCTATTCATGTTGCTTTCTGTCATATTTATCATCTCCTGCTGGGGCACAGGGCCCCCCCCCCCCCACATGCCTGCCTGGCTTTGCCTCCTTAAGAGATTAGGAGACATGGTGTTCCTCCCATGACCTTATCTATAGAGACTTTCAGGATGGTTTGCCCCACCAGGCCTGGCAAACTTAATCTTTGCAAACTTGGGTCAAACTGAAGGGGACTATGGAAGACACAGTTGGATGGATAATTGTGGCTCAGAAACCCAATGGGTCCGTTGCCTGACTGTGCTCCATACATGGTGTTTTGGGGACCAGATAGAGTCTGGAGGGATGCCGCTCTATGTCTAGAAGGGAAACCGTGTCTGTGGAGCATGGTAACAGACACTGGTGCAGATAAGACCTGACCTTGCAAAGCAGTCCAGAAGCAAAACCTCTTAAGAGAGAGTATTTGGGCAAAGTTGGCAAGAGCAGGGTGTCTGTCAGTCAGCAGTGGGTGTTCGGCCTGGAGCCTCACTCGACCTCCTGGTCACATGAGCCCTAGACACAGAAACTGTCATATATGGTCATCAAGTCATCCTAACTGCAGCAGCTAGCCTTGATTGGGATTGGACCGGGGCAAAGCAGAGTTGGAGAGGTGATAGGCCAGTAATGCTAAACTTTCTGTGATTAGACCATCCTCTTAAACTGAGACCCCTAAGTGTGATTTGATCACTGCAGACTCTCTTCCTCCCTCAGCTCCCTAGGGACCCCCTTATCTGGCTCTCAGGCTCTTTACCAGTGATCTGCAATCTCTTGTGCATCTCCTTTTAGCATGGGGGCTCGGCGTCTCATTTTTCCCAAGTCCTTTTGAAAATTGGATACAACAACGAAGGACTGGAACTTCTGGATGCCTCGCTCCTCCTGGCGTCTGTGTCACAGGTGGCGTGTGAAAGAGGAAGAAAGAATGAGATCTCCTGCCCTGTAACATCCCAGTTTCCCCTGAGACAGGAGTTCAAGTTTACCTTTTCCTTCCTGAGCTTCTTAGCCCCCATCAGCCATTGGTTCATTTACCATCTTGGGTGATGTCACGGTCTCGCAGAATTCTCTCCGAGGTCCTGAAATTCTCTTTCCTTGCTAACTCCTGTCATTTCTCTCCGAACTCATAATGGTATTGACATAGCTTTCTCATAGGTAAAAGGGAAGGGGGTAGTGGTTTCTAGCTCCAAGAGGTAAGAATGAAATCATATAATGTGTGCAGAGTCCTGGACTTGGTGCCAGCCTGCTAGTTCCTCTTTTCCACTCAGTGTATCATTTTATGCAAATGCCCTAGCCTTTCAGGAGTCTTATATCATCAATAGAACCATGTCGCCCACATAGCCGTGACTTCCTATTTGGCTCAGGATAAAGATCTCTGAGTAGCGTACCCTTCAGGACCCTAGACTATTTGGCACCTACAATGCTTTCCAGTATCTTCTCCATCCTTCCCCCATCCCTGTTCTCCTGTTCTTCATGCCTTCTCTCATGAACCAAATCTCTGAGAATCTTCCATTTTCACCATCGGCCCAGTAGGACTTCCTATGAGCTGACCTCCAGGCCTTTGAGCATCTAGCCAGCACCTGCAGCTTGAGCTGTTCCTGCCGACTAGCCAAGGCTGGCAGCAGCACCCCACATCCTTGCTGCAGCTTCCCTTGAGCTGTCTTCCTGTTGACTTTTTCTGTGGGACTCTCTCTCTCTCTCTCTCTCAGCAGCCATAGTTTCTGCTGAACCACTGAGAGGAGGCATGCTTGTGTCTCCTTTTATCATCTCTAAAGTGGGTCAAAAACAAAGGCCAGGAAGATTGCTCCATGGTTTGTAGCCTGATCATGAACTGGGGGAGAAGGCAGCTGGAATAGAGAAGAGATCACTAATGATTGGAGGGATCGCTAGGGATGGGAGATGTTTGCTGAAAGTAGATAAAGGACCAAATGTGATAACCTCTCAGTGTCTGTATTGCAAACTATAATGCTCCAAAGTAGAGAGATAGTATGGGGGAAATTGTCTGCCATAGAGGTGGGGGGGAGGGTTAAGATAGGGAGTTAATACTGGGGACATTGGTGGTAGAGAATGTGCACTGGTGGAGGGATGGGTCTTCGATCACTGTATGACTGAAACTCAAACATGAAACTTTTTGTAACTAACCTCATGGCGATTCAATTAAAAAAAAAGAAGTTAAAAAATAAACAAAGTGGGTCAAAGAGTAGCACTGACCCCAGAGGATTGCTGTGAAGATCAACTACAAATAAATGTATAGTTCTTCTAGCAAGACTGACAGGGTTTGGTGGGATGCCTCTCTGTGTCTTGAAGGGAACGGGGTCAAATGTGATTTGATTACCACATACCCTCTTCCTTCCTCACCTCTTTAGGGACCTATACTAGTGTCACACAGCAGGTGTCCCAGAGCTATCGTTGCTTTTCAAAATTCACTTAAAATAATGAACAGGAAGGCCTTTCTCCTTGCTTTCTCCGGCTCACCCAGACCCCTTTTTTGTGCTTGTTGGTTCCTGTTTGTTTTCATTTTTTTCCTTTAATTTTTATTTCGGATCATTTCCCACATTCACAAATGCATTGTTTAATAAGCCCCACATACCAGTCACCTAGCTTCCCCAGAGTTCCACTCACAGTTACATTTCTCCTCCATGCCCTCACCACCTAACTTTCCCTTATTTGATTTTTTTAAAAAATTTTATTTTAATAAAATGTTCAGAATAATTTATTACATTCAATATTCCAGCAGCAATCCCAAGACCATTACACCTTTCCACCACCATTTATTTCGAATTTTCCTACTACCACCCAAGCCTGCCCCCAAAGCAGGTGCTAAATAATTTATTTTGTGTTGCTTGTTATGAGTAATCTGTTAGAAAGGATCCAAAAAAGTTTCCTTAGAGGAAAGTGTGTGAGGATTGTTGTATCTCACCCTGTAGCCATTTAAGCCCTTGTAAAAGAGATTAGTAACATGTTGTTATAGGTTGAGCCATGTAGATCTATCTATCTATCTATCTGTCTGTCTGTCTGTCTATGTATTGATTGCCTTCTACTCTACACCCCATCAAATGTGGTGTGCTGCTCTTGTTACATCAGTGGCAAAGAGTATGAGATGTTGCACTCCTGCCTTGTTTTTTTTTCATATACTGGTCCTCACCAGCCCTTATGGCAACCAATGACTTTCTTCTCTCGCCAGACTGGGTGTCCTAGGAGGAGGGACGTTACCTCCAAATATGAGTTCCAGAGCAGCTGTTTCCTTTGTGTGGGTAGGAGGACACGGCAAAGGTGCAGGCATGGGGGTCCTAATATAGATGAGTGCCCTGGAACGGGTGAGCACTGCAGTCGGGGTGTGGGCTAGTGGGCTTCCGGGCTAGAGGAGAAAAGTGGGAGCTCCTCAAATCTGGTTCCAGCTCTGAATGCTGGCATTCATGCCTGTGCGGAGAGGTCCTGCCTGCTGCTTCTCTCTCCTAGCCGTTACTTCCGTGCTTCCTCTCTCTACTTTGGGTCTCTTTCTCCAGTGCCTGGAATGCCCTCCCATAGGCTTATCGCACCACCCCGACTCCTTCATCTGTCTGACCCCAGTCTTAAAATCACCACCAAAGAGATTGCCTTTCTGGATCCTTTCTGGATTGCCTGGCCTACAGGAGGTCCCTGTGTTTTTTCCCCCTCCCCCTCTCTAACCCATCCCTGTCTCTTTCTGGGAGACAACGATGATCATTTGTACCTGCGATTTAGTTATTTTAGTTCTTGTTTCAGTTATTTCGTTTCTGCCCCTACTTCCCATGAAACTAAATTAGCTGCAGGCAGTGGTCTCCTTATTTCCTGCTAAAACCCAAGCTGGGCATGTCACAGGTGCCAGGTGGGGGGACTGCAGGCACTCTTACTTCATGAAGACTTCCATCTTGTCCTGCAGACAGAAGCCGGCCTCCTGGGCCACACTGAAGAACTTGGCTCTCAACATGTTGCACACCCCGCTCTTGGACTGGGTGATGTCGTGTATGCGGCTGTTGACAAGGAAGAGGAGAGCTTGGGAGAGCACAGCCCGAGGGAGAGAACCAGGAAACCAACTGCCCTGGGCCCCGAGGTTCTCTGCCGTGGGTTCTGCACACTCCCTCAGCCTTCTCTCATTCCTAGGGCTTAACAGGATCTTCCCAACAGCAGGAGGCCTTAGTTTTGGGGGTGGGTGGAGATTTGGGTCATGCCAAGTGGTGCTCAGGGCTTACTCCTGGCCTTGCACTCAGGAATCACTGCTGGTGGGGCTTGGGGGAATATATGAGGTGCTGGGGATAGAACCAGGGTCAGCCACATGCAAGGCAATCCCCTTACCCACTGTACAATCTCTCTACCCTCTTCCCAGGAGGCATTCTTAAAGAAGCTCCTTGGTGAGGGTCCATGCTACTCCAGCCTTCCAGGGTGAGTTTGAGGCATAAGCAAGACAATACACACAATGTGCTTCAACCAACCTCAGGCTAAAGGAAAGGCTCGATGCCATCATCTGTGTGGTGGATTGGCATTGTGGCCATGAGCCTCTTGCCCCAGAAGTCTCTTGGCTCTAGGGAGTTTGGTCTGCACAGTTTTATCAATACCCCTGGCAACACAAGGCGTGTGGCCGCCATCTTAGCTGGTCTCCTCCCATCGCCTGCCTCACTTACCTTTTACCCTTCCTCTGGCTTAGCAGGGAGTGGCTGTCTGCACTTGTACTGATGGATCTGTCACTGAAACACAGAGGGACAGTTTCAGGTTATGCAGTGACAGCTTTTCATACAGAGGGTACCTCTTGACACCTGCCAGCTTCCTGGATTCCAGTAAGGAAGGTTCTCAAGGTGTATTTCCCCCACATCTTGGTTGTTGCTTTTACTGGATCCCCAGCAAACAAGGCCCCCCCTTGTTTCTTCTGCACCTTCTTAGGGCTTTTTAGAGAGAAGAAAACACAGAGACAGGCTGAGGAGAGGGTGGCAGGAGGGAAACTGTGAACATGGGTGCTGGGAAATGTACACTGGTGGAGAGATGGGTTGGGAACAACGATGATCATTTGTATGGCTGTATGGCTGAAATCCGACCATGCACAGCTTTGTAACTATATCCCATGATGATTTAATAGGGAATTAAAGAAACAAAAAGAATGTCACCATTAAAAACAAAACAAAACAAGTAAAATTGTCTCCCTCTGGAGGTTGAGCTTGTTTTAGACTCTTCCTTCTCCCCTTTGCTCCTTCTCCTCAACTTCATTAGCGGTTAACCCCAGGCCAAGTCCAGGTCTCAGAGACAGGATGGCTCTTGTCTCCAGCATCTCTTTCCCCAGACCCTCTCTTCATTTGAAGAGATGCTTCTGAACTTCACTATTGAGTTGAACACCTATTTCTGCACTAGACTTTGGAGACCGGCAGAGCTGGGTTCAGAGCCCAACCCTGGCCTTCTCTCCAACCCTCAACTCTGTCTGTGGGCCTGCACATTTGCTTGGATCGTCACTCTCCTCACATGTAATCAATTCGTTCCTCCTGTGCTGTGATACTTTCTAGGTGTGGGCTGATAGAATGTTTGAAGTCCCTGAGTGGTGGTTCCCTCCTGTGGCTTTCTCTGGCTTGTGTTTCTTGAAGGGTGTGTGTGTGTGTGTGTGTGTGTGTGTGCATTTGAGAGAGAGAGAGAGAGAGAGAGAGAGAGAGAGACGCTCCCTTGCTCCTCTCCCACCCCCCACCAGCATCTGACTTAAATGGTTCCTCTCTGTGTGAGGTCAGAGACAGCCTTTATTGACTGGAGTCTTCAGATCCAGCATCTACCAGTTTCTTCAATGCTCTTCTCTATTCATCCCTAAGTGCTAAGGAAGACCAACTCAGCTGCTTTTGTGGTGCCAGTGGGTGAGGTTATTTCTGATATTTCTGTGCTGTGTGGATGACCCACCTCTACTGGGATTGAGGAGCATGCAGCTGCATTAGGGAATTCTTCCAGGACACTTTGTACAGGGAAGGGCCTTGTTTGTTGCCACTTTGCACGGAAGTGCATGGCACTGGACTGAGAGGTCTTGGGCTTGGTAGGCTGTGAACAAGCCCTTTGCTCGCCTAGCTGGGATGCAGGGACCCACAGGTTGTTGTGTTTGAATTCCAACCAGTTTCCCCCACCTCTGAAGATTACTTTTTTTTTGTGCGGGGGGACCCGCGGAGTCGCCTCCCCGTCCTGCAGGGAGGGTTCCGGGTTCCATACGTGCAAGGAGGGATCGACCGAATGGACATGCAGACACAAGAAGAGACAAGAAACTAAGAGAGAGGACAGGACAGAACAGACAGGACAAGGCAGGCAGGATAGGACAGGACTTTATTCAGGGCAGCAGGGGCTTATATACCTATCAGTACAGGAAACTATGCATACAAAGCATAAGGCAGTTACACAAAAAGGTCATGTCCGTATATAGTTAGGAAAGTTACAAGGTCTATACATTTCACATACATGGTTAATCATTGTCAGTTACTCCTTGTTTTTGCGGACAGCCATGACAGATGTTTCTGTGATGGATGTTTCCTCAAGATAACCATGCATAGCACAGGATTCCATGCATAGCACAGGATTTGCGCAATTTGGGACTTGGCCTGTTGCGGGTCATGTAGGCCCTTGGTCAGTTAGATGGCCAGCTTCCCACATTTTTGCTCTTTTTGAGGGCCACACTCAGCAATGCTCAGGGTTGACTCCTGGCTCTATACTCAGGAATCACTCCTGATGGTGCTCAGGGCACTGTATGGGATGCTGGGGTTTGAACGTGGGTTGGTTGCATGCAAGGCAAGCACCGTACCCACTGTGCTATTTCTCTGTCCCCTTAAAATGACTTTGTTTGGGAGAGTCTACTGGCTTTTACCTTCACCCTCCATATATAGTTCTCATAACATGACTCATGGGTGATAAACAAACCAATCAAATCACAAAATAAATCACAAAAACCCTTTGCCTGACTAATATAGGATTTTGCTAGGACATCTAAATGTTCTCTTGTCTCAGGTTCTCTGTACATGCTGTTTCTTCAGCTTGGAACACTGCTCCCACCTTTTCTAGGTGTGGACTAGGGACTCCTTTACTCCTTTAGTGCTCATACCAGCTTAGTCTTGTTTAGGCCCCTGGTGCTCAGCATCCATCCAGAGCTCCACCTATGCCTTTCAAAACACTTTTCAAGAGCACAATTATTTGGGACACTCCGTGGGATTATTTAATAAATGCACAACTCTCCTGCTAGACTTGATCCTAACCAAAAGGCAGGATTCTTGGAACTGATGAATGAGGTTGCAAGAAAAGCTTACACCTTTGTTTCCACTAGCCTTTAGCGGAAATAGGAATCAGAAGTATGGGCCTATCACATTACAATTGTGGGAGATATTTTGAAAAATCATTTACACTCGATACCAATCCAAAATCATAGCCGTTATTGGTGCTGCTGCTAAGTCTTATTATTGAACACATCACGAAAGAAGCTCATATTTTACCATAGCCTACATTTGCTTGCAATATCCTATCTGTCTTACTATAGATTTCTTTGTAAACCTTTACAACTTATAGCTTGCTTTTAAAAGAATATTTCTCCCCCTGAAAGGAGTCCAAAGACTTTCTCATATGGTCCAAGGGTCCACAAGATAAACAACCATCAGGATTTCCACATAGAAGGTGAAATTAAGGGGGTACCTTGCAAGGGGTTTTGCTTATAGATGCCCCTCACCCAGTCTAGCATGACTCCTGGCACAAGAGGGTGAATAAATGAGTTTGGGGTAGACCTCTGCCTCCCACTCAAGTCAGCCTAGTAAGAAGGGATGGGAGCCTCCCTTAACACACTCACAGTGCCCTTTCACTCCAGGGAAATTTGAAATGTTATGGTCTCTATCTTGGAAGGTGGCTAGAGCTCACCACCGTACCAACCACTGGGAGCTCCCCAGCCTTGGAACTTAAGGTGTTTCCAGTGAGAAGGTAAAACACTCCCTACCCTGCCCCAAGTTGGACTGTTGGGTGAGAAGCATCCCTGAAATGACCTGGGTTAATTGCACTCTGCCCTCCCCCCTCACACCCTCCCCATCACCACCTGCGGGCCCCAGGCCATCCTACCTTGACTTGACTGTGCTGGTCTGCATATCTTTGTTGATAGAATCACTTTTGGTTTGCCTAAGCATCGCCGTGATGCTGCAAAGCAAGGAGAGCCACAGAGAATCAAGCACTGCACCTCCAGAACCACTTCCAAGACTGGAGGGAGGACGATTCCTTGTCTACAGCAGTGAGTGTCTACAAAGAGGTTGGTTCTTGGAATATAGCTTCCTGTCCTGAGTGCTTAGAGATCTAGATACAGCACAGTGGGACTCCAGAAATGGAGTATAAGCCACACACACACACACACACACACACACACACACACACACACACACACAGACTTCTGATGCAGGGGGGCAGAGCCCACCCTTTGCAAATCTTTGAATTTCCCAGCAGGCACTGAGGTCATACTTACTTCCTTGGCTCTGGGCGAAGATGAGAACATTCCTAAGCACCCCAGCCCATGCTAGCCTTCAGAAATGCTGAAAAATTATGGCTAGACAGCTTTAAGGATAAGGTTATCTTCCCAGGGGACGCTATCTTGGGATGTTTGACTTCCTCTCTGCACCCCCACCTGTAATTTGCTTGTTTCTGGAGCTTTTCCCACCCTCTCAGTCCTGCTGTGGTAGCCAGTCAGGGAGCGTTTGATCACAAAGAAGAGAAGAAGATGCAGGTGGGGCATTGGTCTTTGCTCTCTGGCTAGCTTGCTCTGTCCTTAAGGTGGATGCAGGTTGAGTTTTGTGAGAGGCAGGCTCTCCCAGGGTGCCAGCATCACCCCCACTTTATTCTGCCCCCATTTATTGAAGGCTTCCAACCCACCAATCATGTGCTAGTATGTTTAATGCAGAACGATATAAGGATGACTCATCCAAGTAGACACTATGCCCATTCCAAAGATGACCTTTTTTCTTTTTTGGGCTTTTTGGGGACGGTCACACCTGGTGGTACTGGGTGTTCTCAGGGGTTCTGGCTCTCCACTCAGTAATCACTCCTGGTGGTGGTCTGAGGACCCTGTGGGAATGCTGGGGATTGAACCTGGGTCAATCGTGTGCAAGGCAAATGCTCTCCCAGCTGTGCTATCGCTCTGGCCCCGAGAGGTGAAGCCTTTTGCCTGGTGTCATGTAGCAAGAGAATGAGGGGAATGGAGGTAGGCGTGAGTCAGTTTGGTGCAAAGAACGATGCTTTGATATTCCAACACCCCATGTTAGAGATGAGCATGTTGGAGTTGAAGGCAAGATTGACTGAAAAGCACCAGGTTGTTTTTTTTGGGGGGGGGTGGGGTCACACCTGGAGATGAACAGGGGTTACTCCTGGCTCTGCACTCAAGAATTACTCCTGGCGGTGTTCAGGAGACCATATGGGATGCTGGGAATCGAACCCGGCAAAGCAAACACCCTACCTGCTGTGCTATTGCTCCAGCCCCTGAAAAGCATCAGGTTGGAACCTGTGTCAGTCTGACTCCAAAGCCAGCATTGTGTAGGCAGTTCTGACAAAACAGGGGCCCTCATGGCCTTGATGCTTTCTCAATACCTTCCTCTGATGTTGACAACTCAAGCCCAGCAGCAGGGATCTTAAGGGTCATCATTGTCCCCAAGGGCCACTGTCTTTGGGGCCCCCAAAGCATGTTGAAGCAGCTGCAACAGATCCATCACGAGCAGGCGGAGGGTGGGGGTTGGTGCGCTGAAGAGTGCTTGGTGAACTGTAATTACGGTAATAACAATAACCAATAAGTCATCGCCAGCATCCCAGTAGGCTGAAGGCGATGATGAACCTCTTCAAGTGCCTCATTTATTTTCCTGGAGTAATTTGCTTACTCATGAGGGAGCCGCACTCGGAACGGGGTCTCTGCTTCTTGCTTACATGCCCTTGGAGGTTTTTAGAGGCCCTGAGCTTGGCTGACATAGCTTTCCACCAGGAGGAGGGCTTCCAGGGTTTGAATCTGCCCCGATAAGCCTGCTACACAGGTCAATGAAACACTGGAAGAGCCTTAGGCTAGTCCCTGGAATTTTCCAGGGGCCTGTGTGCAAGGTCCCCAGACACACAGATTTTTTTTTTTTTTTTTTCTCTTTGGATCACACCCGGCGATGCTCAGGGGTTACTACTGGCTCTGCATTCAGGAATTACTCCTTTCTGGCAGTGTTTGGGGGACCATATGAAATACCAGGGACCTGGGATTGAACCCAGATTGGCTGCACGCAAGGAAAATGCCCTACCCTTTGTACTATCACTCCGGTCCGCACAGATATTAAAGGGGCTATAGTTCCTTTGACCATGTTTGGTCAGGCGCCTTCTGGAATGTTCATCTCTGCCCTCCAACTTTGGCTGGGTGTCTCTTTCTCAGGCTTCCTCCAGAGTCTTAGCCAAAAAATAAAAATTCTTCACCCAGTCTCGACTGGACACTTCCGTTATTCTCTTGTTCACTTCTGAGCATGTTTCACCATCGCAAGCACAGAGTGCAAACCTATCTGGAAGTATTCATGGGAAGAATGGAATGACTTAGGCTTGGGGGATAGCTCAAGGGGTAGAGTATAAGCCTAGCATGTAACAGAGTCTGCGTTCAATCTCCTGCACTGCCATGAGTGGTCCCCTGCCCTCAAATGCCACAAGGTGTGGTCCCAATTTGGAGAGATAATGAAGGCCTCCTCTTAGGGTTCTTGGAAAGCAGCATGGCAGAACTGTGAAGAGAAGACTTCTTGGAAGTGGAAAGATTTGGAGTTAAGGGCTGGAGCACAGGGGTTGTTTGCCTTGCATGCAGTTAAGCTGTTTCGAGTTTCTAGTACCACATATAATCCTCTAAGCACTGCCAGGGGTTACTCCTGAGCACAGAGCCAGGAATAGCTCCTAAGCACTGCAGGATATAGCCTCATCCTGCCCTCTAACCGCCCCCAGTTCCCCTGTATCTAGAGCTGAGTTATGGCCTTCCCCTTCATTAGCTGCATGACCTGGAAGAAATGACTTAGCTTCTCTGAGTTTTGCTTTCTTATTTGTAAAAATAAAGGTAATGGTATCCCGCTCATAGGGTGCTTTTGTAAGAGCTCAGAGAGGCATTACATGACTAGTATGTGGAGCTTGCTTCTTTCCCCGAAGTAAAACTTCCATCACTGGGAACCCTTAACATTCCCATCAGCACGCATGCTCCCTGAGCCTTTGTCCCCAGAGTGGGAAGAACATACCTGGGTATTGGATAACATTGGACAGTCCTTTCTCCTCTGCAGCAAAGAGCTTAGGTTTACTGAGTAACATCCATCACAGTGCTTCTGAAGCACTCCCATTCATCTTTAACTTCTCCTTTGTGCTCTGCTTCCTCTATCTGTTAATTGCTTAGTTCCCCTAATCAGACACTGTGACTTAAAATGTCAGATTCTTTTAAGGACTCTGGATTTTGTATTTGTAATTGAAATACTGCTTTTCTCTTTCCTTTATGTTCTTTGCAGTTTACTTTCGATCAATGTCCTTTCTGTATAGACACAGGAAGACAGTTGATGCTATGTTCCTGTTACCTGAAAAGTTAACTGACTCCGAATAATATTTACTCCTGGGCATCTGTCATATTTACTTGCCTTAAGCCTCAGTTGCCCTTAGTTCCTAGCACCTCCAAAAAAGGGTCCCGATGAAGGGAGTTGGATGGGTCTAGGGCAAGCTGCAGACTATCCTGACTTTGAAAAGGGACAGGTCAACCACCATAAAACGTACAATAAGTTAAGAGCATGGTCACGGACAAACTCTGTCATCAGAAGAAGTAACATCAAAAGAACATCAGAAGAAGAAACATCAAAAGAAGTAACTGGACAAAGACCCTACTGGGGTTAGGAAGGACTGATCTGGCCTGAGGATTGTAGTCTGGGATATGCAGTGAGCCCAGGAAGAGGCACCCTTTAAGTTTGGTAAATCTCTTACTGTGTCCATACAAAATGACTAGGAATATTATTAAGAAGTAAATTTAAGATGACTGTTCACATGAAGTCCAATGCGTGATCCATTGCGCCACAGAGCCCGCTGGAGCAATAGCACAGTGGTAGGGTGTTTGCCTTGCACACAGCCAGCCTGGTCAAGCTCTCTGCCCCTCTCGGAGAGCCTGGCAAGCTACCAAGAGTATCTCGCCCGCACGGCAAAGCCTGACAAGCTACCCGTTACATATTCGATATGCCAAACACAGTAACAAGAAGTCTCAAAATGGAGATGTTACTGGGCCCGCTCAGCAAAATAGATGAACAATGGGAGGACAGTGTTTGTTTGTTGTTCACATGAATACTGGCTAAGGATAGGGAAAAGTAATATACCTTAGATGAAATTCCGCCCTTGGGTGGATCTCCTAGCAGGATGAGATATTGTCCTAGAAGAGCTTCCCCTGAAGGAAGGGCTTTACATATGTTGATTGTGCTACCTCACCTATGTGTAATTGCTACCCCCAAGCTTTCATGTTCTGTTCTTAACTATGGCTGTGAAAAGGGGTGTGAGGAGATAGGAATGAGGAGCAGGGATATTGGATAACATTGGCCCAATATCCAATTGTGAGAGCTGTGAGAGAGGCAGAGAATGACACTACAATAGGATGAAGATAGGAATAAACAGTGACTGATCACCAACCAGCTTAATGGCCCTGTTCCCTCCTTCATGCCTCCATTGATGCCAGTGGCCAGTGGGGGGGGGGTGAGGGGTGAGGAGGTGGGGAGTTGGAGATGGGGGGAGAAGGAAGGGCATTCATGGCCACCAAATGCACTTGGCATACTGTAACACTTTTTTTTTGCTTTTTGGGTCATACCCAGTGATGCACAGGGGCTACTCCTGGCTCTGCACTCAGGAATCACTCCTGGCAGTGCTCGGGGAACCATATGGGATGCTGGGAATCGAACCCGGGTCTGTCATGTGCCAGGCAAACGCACTCCCCGCTGTGCTATCACTCCAGCCCCCCACCACACTTTTTGAACACACACCTGGGCACTTTCTTCAGAGACTCGGCCTCTATCATGACACACCGGTGGGCATCTTCCCGGACCAGCTCCAGGAGCTTCTGCAGATCTGAGGGGAGTGAAGGAGGTTCAGGGGTGCTCAGGAAACAGGCGTGTGTAGGGCTGCCCTCTCCAAGGTGGACATGGCTTTTGCCTTGCTGGGAAGTGACCCCAGGACATGCGCCCTGCGAGGCAGTGCCATGCCCTGGGTCTTTCTCTGGACTCAGAATTGCCTGGTGCTGTCTCAGCCTCTGACTCTTCCTCTATCCCTCTTTGCTGGTTGGAGAAGGGACTGAGGAGGAACAAGTGGATTGAGGTGGGAAACTGGGAGCTAGAATGTTCTATCAGGGTCTGTGGGGCACTCTACCATGTGGATAGGTGTGAAACAAAACCCAAGTCTTGAGCATGGTTTTCCTTGAGTCCTTCTGGAAAGGAGACTAGTGCAGGGAGGGATGGGTGTCCACTTCCAGAGGAACCAGCTCGGTCCTCAGTGTGCAGGGCAGTATATGGATGCTGTGCTCATTTCTCCAGACAAGGCAGCATCCTGTGCTTCCAATGTCTCAAGAAAAAGGTTCTGACTTCCTCCTGTCACCACCTTCCGCCCCCAGCTCATCCAAGAACCTTTGCCTGGAGCGACTCAGCCCATCTCTTCTCCTACTCTTGTGTGGACTGGCTGGAAGTGTGTGATGGATGGCAGAAGACCCACCTCTGGGGGTTGCCATAGAAGGGAGGTTCTCCTCCAACTCTTTTCAGACTGGGCACTCCCAGAGTGGCAGAAGGAATGGCAAGAACCTTAGTGTCTTGGGCATCCCCTCTGCCATCGATTGGGGAGGGGATCAGTCCACAGAGAGGTTAGAACCTGCTGTCCCCAGTCATTGCATCCACAAAGACATCATTATGTGGCCTGCCCCCACAAGTAAGACCTTGGGCGTATGGTATGTCTCTCAAAATAGGATTCAAGAGCTCAGAATCAATTTGAGGAGGTTTAAGAAGGCAATGGAAGAGAAAATTAATCCACTTTTTTTTTTTTTTGGTCAAGGCAGTGACAAATGGGAAGGAGGTTAAGATATAACTAGAGGGTGTGGGGTGGTGACGGAAGGATTTTCTTACCAGATTGTAAGTTTCAGGAGGAAATGGGGGCTTTAATGGCTGTTGTAGACCTACTATGTGACTGCTGAAGGTAGCTAAGATACCCTTGTTACATTGCTGCAAGGAGTTCACACTCCTTTTCCCTTTCCTCAGTAACAGATAAAGGTGTGTTGGAGTACAAGGATCTTAGGTTTATCAGGTTGCAACCATCACAGTGCTCCCGAGTCATTTCCATTACTTTGTTTGTCTGTAACTACTTCTTTGTGCTCTCTTCCTCAACCAATTTGTAAGGTCTCATCCTTCTAGGACACAGAACTTGTATTGTAAGTTAATATAGCCTTTCTCCTCTCCTTATGTCTTTTGAATAGTTTACTTTAATGCAATGTCCTTTTTGCATAGATACAGGAAGACAATTAATATTATGCTTTATAACTTAGGAGTTAATTGGCTTTGAATTATTATTCACACCCGGTCATCTGCTTTCTCAACTTAAGCCTTAGTTGCCCTCCTTCCTAGCGCCCACAAAAGCAGGCTCCCGACGAGGGACTGGATGGAACCAGGGCAAGCAGGTAAGCTAGGTGCTACCCTGGCATCGAGATGGGCCAGGCCATGTTGGGATCGGGAGTTCCCTGGCCCTGGGAGGCGCGGAGAGACCAGATAGACACAATTCCTGCAGGAGTAAAAACGGGGTTTATTTAGACCAGCATGCTGGGGCTCCAGCATACCCCAAAAATGGGCAGTGGCTGAGAGCCCCGAACTTCTTCAAAGGGGATCTTATATAGGCCTTCACTGGCCGTTACAGCAAAGCCCGCGCATTTCATAGCCAATAGATTTGTAACAACATATACTTTCTTAACCAATCCATTTAAAAGTACCTCACTCCTTAGCCTATAGATTCAAAGATCAGCATTTACGTACATCGATTGTCAGCACAAGCAAGGTTATAGCTGGAATCATTAAGCCTTAGGTAATCTCCCTTGACCATCCTCGTTTTGTGTTACCCAAGTCTGCAGGGTGCTTTAGTGAGACAATACATTCCAGGAAAGGGCAATTTCCCCCAACCACCAGCATCCTGAGTTAGCCTTTACCCAAATCTGCAGGGTGCTTTACTGAGACAATACATTTCAGGGACAGTAAATACACCTGAATCTTGTAGAAAGAAGTTATGCCCTGTTCACTTTGCAAGTCCCCTCTCCCCCAGGTGCAAAGCAGCCAAGCAGTTTTACAGAAAGCAATGTTGCAAGTTAGCTAAAGTACACAAAAATTTGATGCCCTAATATGGATTCTTTCATTCCCCACTTCTTTTCATGAGCATCTCTAATCCTAGAGATCGTGGGGGGGTCGGGGCCTAATTCAAGGACCCGTGGTTAAGAGTAGCTTCCCTCAGTGGGTAGAGTCCGGTATTGTTGCCCCGAATTAGGAGGATCTTCAAGACTCAAACCAATTCTCCCAGGCTTCTCCGACGTCGTTCAAGGCCTTCCCGTAGCTTGGCTATAGAGTCTCTGACAACCTCAGTGTGGTCTGCGTAGAAACAGCATCCCTCCACCAGATCAGAGCAAAGCCCTCTGTTCTTGAGGAACAACAGGTCGAAGGTCGAGTCCTCTCAGGTTTTGGGAGACTATCTCGAACAGGGATGTGAGAGATTTCTCGATGAGGTCTTAAAAAGAGTTAAAGCAACAGAAACCAAAGCAACATAATGCCATACCCATCTCTATCATTAAAACAATGAAAAGGATTAACTCTACAAACAGGTTTGGTTGATAATATAACTTCCTGTGTTCAGATTTTTCTAATGGTCACAGAAACACCAAGCCATTCTCTGGCTTTCTCAGTACAGACTGGAAAAGCTTCTGCCCATATACTGAAGCTATCAATGAGAACCAACATATATTTATACCTTGAACATATGAACATTTGATCATTTGTATAAGGTCAAGCTGCCGATTCACCTCTAAGTTCCTTGATGCTGAACAGGTGTTAGGAAAGGAGGCTCAGGATTTCCACTAGGTTCATTAATGGCACAGAAAGCACAGTTCTGAATTACTTCTATCTTACTTGCTGTTCAGTTCCTCCCCATGGAAGATGGTTCTCACTAGTGTTAAAACATAACCCTTTAATAATATTCCATTGCATTGGTTCAGGAGTTGTTAATCCCATGATGCAACAGAAATTAAGAGCTGATAATATTCTTGTTCTCTCCAAATGACTGTTCACAGAAAATGAGATGCAATAAAGTATAGAAAGAAAATTCACAGTATTTTAGAACTAGATATTAATCTACTCTAATTTGACCAGTTTAGATGCCTTTCTCGACACTTTGGCCAATTCAGACCGGGGGAAAGCAATTCTGCACTTTGAGATGAGCTTCACCCTAGTAAAGCTCTGGCTTTCAATGCTCGTATCAGACTAGTGACAGCATGTATAATATTGAGTTCCCTTTACAGATTAGGCTGTTTTACCTACAGACAGTAAACTAAGTTTTATCTAAATTTCCCCAAAGGGGGTACCTTTTAGATCAAGATTAGAATACATTTATTCAATCACCTCTGTAGAATTAGAATCTGATTCTTACAAAAAGCAAGTTACAGAAACATGGTTTTCTCTCCACCTTCATTTTAAAACGTTGCAAGATAGTTTAACAAACCTGGCTTGTTCTTTTGCATAAACACAGTAAGATTAGAGAACTCTCCATTTGGGATACCCAATTATTTACTGAGAAGTCCTGGGGATCAGCTAAAGACAGGAGACACAACAATAGTGGCATTAATCTTCATTAATCTTATCTGGCACGTCAGAGCTACCCAGGCCTGGCCAGAAGATGTCCCGCGATGTCTCGAGCCCTTGGGTTGTGGCTTTGGTCCTCGTTTTCCACAGAGATGTCCTGGCAGAAAGGAATCCATCCCATCCCTTCTTCAGGGCTGGGAGAAATCCTGGTTTCCAGGTTTTTCCTTGACGCTGAGAGTAGGCCCAGACTGAGTTAGTCATTGCAGAGTCCTAGATTCCTCATTCTCCATAGCAGTGACGGTTTCCAGTCTTTTCTCGAGCCAGCCTGCCTCTAGGGTCGCTCTGAGGTTTGTAGGGTTCTTGAAACAGTACCTGTTAAATCCCTGCTCCTGTCATTTAGACAGATCCCCTGACTGTTTCCCTGGAAGAGGGCTTTGGGGTCCCATGGCTGGTTTTTCCTGTCTGCATGAGGGGTAGACCCTATTACAGAGAGGAAAGACTTATCTGGATTTATGCAAACCAACATAGTGCCATGAAACATCAAAAAACATACTGAAGGTACAAAAGAAGAGAAAAGCAAGTATTTCACTTTACTCACAGAGATGTAATACACCTGTTTGCTGTGGGTCCTAGTCAGAGAAGCTAAAATCTGTAGAGATAAAGCATACCGTTTAACGTGTTTTTAATCCCATGTCAAAACCCTTGATTTCTGCAACTTTTGAAAAATTCAATGATCTTAAGAGCACTGTAACAGGAGTCCAGATAATCCATCAATCATCTTTACCATAGATCTTACCACAAAGGTGCTAGAAGAATTCTGCATGTGATTTAAAGCGTTTCTTATAACAGTTTGACCAGTTCCTTTTCTTTAGAACAACCTCAAACCTTCTACACATTCCTTTACACACATTCTGTAACTTTCATTCATTTAAAAATCAATTTCACTTTAACAGAATTCCTTTCCTTTCTTCCCACTGACGATATCTCCATCCATTATCTTTCTGACTTATGGCATACATCTATAGTAGTACAATGTGATCTCCCAAATTTAGACACAAGTTACCAACCATCTCACTTAACATGACAAAACTGTACTCTGCAGTACTATTTCAAAAGCATTAGATCAGTTCCATAGATATTCAAAATGCTTAAAAATGCTCACAATTAAAGCTTTTACAAGGTATATCCACTGGGCAAAAGATCACTTTACATTAGAAACTAACCAGGAGACATCTTAAAATTCTGATTTAGAGGAAA